CATTGCGCTCGATTTCCTCCGCTGTCGTTGAACCCGTTTTACTGTATGCTTCCTCGTACATGACACGAAAACGAGCCCTTTGTTTTGCGCGAAAATTGACTTGTGTAATCTGATCACCTTTTGTCATGTGACTTGATACACTAGGAAAATCCAAAATTATACCCAGAACGACCCGTTCCTAAACTGACTTCCACATCATGACAACGTTTGCAGGCTGTTGTTTAACGGAACAGCACAGTTATTCGTCGAGGTGTCGCGTGAAGCCGCCCACCAATGGCATCTCTCAACGTGCAAGCCAAATGCCAGTCAGGCGTAGGCGCTAGTCCAGCGTCACGTCGGGAGAGTGGGTGGCTCTGGAAGCTTTCAGGTGTTCAGATCAGAGTGCAGCTGACGACAGCACACGTCACCTGTCCTTTGAACACGCTTTCACGGTGTTCTGTTGTCCCGTACCAGGCCCCAGCCACACGCAGGAATCTGTACAGCACGAGCATGAAGCATAACTGTGACGTTGTGCAATTGTGGATCTTTCCGGACTTACCGATGCACAGTACAAGGGCGGCTCTAAACAGTGTGGGCTCCTGCGGAGTATAAAGTGTGTACAATTGATGCTCACCCCATGCACGCGAATTTGCCTTGCGCCGGATGGATACGCTGCACCCGAGGTTGTTTCCCCAGCCTTATGCACCTACATTACAAGCGCGTCAAGCAGAAGAGACCGAAGTCAAGCAGAAGAGACTGAAGTCAAACTAGGTAACTAGGTAGCAGAGTCTTGTTTATAAGCACATGCGAATTCTTTTTAGCTAGCTGCGAATTGACGAAACTTATGCGAACTGCTCGTGACAGCTTATACGCCCCCTTCATAAGGCAACCGGGAGGGGCTCAAACAGGCATCAATTGTACTGGGAGGCCCTAAACTTCTGGTGTACAGTATTACAGTGTGGGGCTCCCCGTTCACTGACCCTGTGTGGCTCGGCAGCACCCTTCCACTCGAACCATGGGTTCGCGCTGGACCTGGCTGGCTGGGCTTGGGAGCCAACAAGTGTACAATTCACACAGCAGTTCGCTCACATTTCGGGCAGTGTGAATCTGACAGCCACTGCTTTGGTCCTTATGGCTGGTTCCGTGACTGTTGATGGGAAGGGAGGCATGCTTCCCGGTCAATACATAGGACAACTACACACGATGTCCGTTTGACTAACCCAAGGTTGCCTTGTGAAGGGGGCGCTTAAGTGATTCATGCATTTCGTGGAGGTTTCGTCAATTCGCGTCGGGCAAAAAGGGCTTATAGCAAAATTTTGTAACTCACCGTTGACTGTTTGACTTCG